CACACACACACACACACACACACACACACACACACACACACACACACAACACACGGAAAGGTGGCTGCTGGTTATCGGGCCTGCCTGGGATCCCGTCTTAGCACCATCGGCGACCACATTTCTGCAAGGTTGGTACAGCAGAGTCTGTCAAGCTCCACTTTGGCTTGATGTCTCTTGCTTTCTTAAAGCTTTTTTCAAGGTTTTTTTTCCTGTACCCAAAAATGGTTACCTTTTCCGGTTATGGATCCTTTTCTGTTCTGAGGAGCATTTTTGTTTAGTTGCTATTCCACTGGCATGTGTATTCAACAATTGTTCCTTGCTTTTCCTTCTTTTTCTTTTCTCTACGCTTGTAATCACCTGCCCAGTAGCCCCTGCTCCTTCCGCGACCTTGCGCAGCTGTAGTGAATTAGCCTTTTTTCCCCCCTTCTGTTCGAGATTGTGTGAACTGTGCATAAGGGGAAAAAGTTCAAAAAAGTGAAGTGTGCTTCTTTTCAGAAAGTACAGAAACCATACAGAAACGACACTAGGCCCCATAGAAGGGTTAGCCCCCAATGCTATTATTTCATTTATTATCAAGTTCATTTGATTGGATCAGAATAGCGAGTTTCAAACTCATGATCTTTTTGTTAACACTTATGTCTGTATGCTGTTCGGCCTCGCAGGCATAGTACGGCATTGCAGCATTACAATACTACCGTCTTCCCCCAAATAGAACATCAGTCGTTAATACCTTTCTCGGCCTGTTGGCTTAAAATAGATCAAGTACAGTATCTGTTCTGATCAGTTTAGTATCTGATCCGTGGTCCTCCGGACCACATTAAAAGAAAAAAGAATGTACAGTCGTTAGCATCATCACCTCTGCATCTAGACTGAGAATTGCCCCAAATACAGGTATAATGGAAGATGGTAGGCAAACAACTGCGGCGAGTTTGGCAGGGTGTACTGTAACTGGATTGGATGTGTAACGTGGAATGAGGTGAGGTTTTCCGATGCATGGCCTTTTAGAATTGGGTCAATTACGTATATCTCTTTATTATATTAAATTTTGGAAGTAAATAATCGAGTGGTTGTACCAGCCATGACTCATTTATGTATGATGGGGTCGTGGGTGGTTGGGGGGGGGGATGTACTGCTGATGTTTATGAACTATGTATGTTTTGTTATTTCAAAATTTAATTAGTAGTGTTTTCTTGTCTTGCAGGTACCAACTTTCTTTGAATGATTTAGGGAGGAAGCTGGCAGCGTGGTACTCTTCTGAGAGTGGTGGTCGACAACAAGACTCACAGCCAGGAAGGGGAGTGGAACCACAGGCCGTTTCTGACTATGGCAGGGCAAATGAAGAGGAGGCTGATGAGAATCTTAACCAGGAACTTGACAAGGATCGTAGCCAAGCAGCCGCAACTCCCTTATTTTTCTGGCTGAATAACCCAAAGCTAGTCAGCTCATTGTTTAACACTGAGGTAAATCCCTCAAGCTTTTCTTCTGTTCAGTTGAAGCTCTTGTATTCCCTCCTGTTTCAATGTCTATTCCAGGTTCGGCCATGCTTGGTTGGATGTCAGTTCCAGGTCCAGCAATGCTCATTGTTTGAGTCCGAGGTAGGTACCTCATACCTCAGAAAAACTTTCATGGGGTGTTCTAGGTCTTGAATCCCCTGGTTAGAACGTCGGTTCCAGGTCCTGGATCCGATCCAGCTCCAGGATCCATTCTGGGTCTGGGGGTCTGGGATCTGTTCCAGGTCCGGGATCCGTTCCACGTTCCAGATCTGTTCGGGGTCCCGGATGCAGGACAGGTTGCAGAGATCTGTTCCAGGTCCTGGACATCCAGATCTCCATGATCAGATCCCCAGGAGATCTGTTCCAGGTCCTGGGGATCTGTTCCAGGTTTGCAGATCTGTTCCGGGTCCTGGATCCACTTCAGGTCCCAGCTGTGTTCCAGGTACCAGACCTGCTCAGTGAATTCATCCCAATACATTCATAATGTTCGGTCAGTCTTGTGTTCCAGGTACCAGACCTGCTCAGTGAATTCATCCCAATACATTCATAATGTTCGGTCAGTCTGAATGTATCTGCATGCCTACGCAGTCCAAGAGAAACGGCGCCTGCTAATGGCTCTCAAAATTGCAGCTCTTTTTCCTTCTTTTCAACTGAAAAATGAAGGCATTTCAATTCCGTCTGCATGCTGATTTAGAAAACTCTTTCGTCTCATTAGGCTCGGGTGCCAGCCGTGGATAGGTTCGGCAGCCACGTCACAGAGGCACGGGCGGTTTAAGCATACACAAAAAGTGATCCTTGTTGCTTAGGTGGAGGGATTTGTTCTTTGAATTAGCAGTGTTGTATGCATGTGGGGCCCATCAAGCCATCAGGGAGTGCATGCATATGTAGGAGGTAATGGAAGTAGTATGTGCAAAAATGCTGTGCAGCAGCTCCATACTTATCCCTCCTCCCTGCGCCCTTGCTCTTTCCCTCTACCTTCTCACTACTCCTCCCTGCCTCCTCACTCTTCCCTTTGCCCTTCTCCCTTCTCCCTCTCCTCTCTCCCCCTCCCCCCCCCTCTCCCCTCTCCCCTCTCCCCTCTCCCTCTTCCCTCTCCCCTCTCCACTATCTCTTCTCCCTTCTCCCCTCTCCCCTCTCCCCTCCCCTCTCCCTCCTTCCTCACATCTCTTGTCTCCCTCCTTCCTCATATCTCCCCTCTCCCTCCTCCCTCCTATCTCCCCTCTCCCTCCTTTCTCACATCTTCACTCCTCCCTCCTTTCTCCTTACTCTCACCTCCCTCCTCTCTCAGAGAGGCTAAACATGTGCACTGATTTGGTGCGCAGGAAAAAAAGGTGAAACTCACGAAGGAGCTGCATGGGGCTTATGATAGAGCATTGATGAGGAGCCCAGTGCTTCTGCCCAAAGGACCATGTATTCTGCTGGACTATCTGCAGGTATGTGATATTCACCATCATCATCACTCCTCCCTCTGTGTACTCTGTTAACCTGGAAAGGCAAGCATGACTGCACACTCTCAGCTACAGTGGAAGCGAGCGTCTTTGGCATGACCCTGGTCTTACCCTCATGTGACGTTCTGTTTGTGTAGTTCAACTGTCTTTGATGTTCATCAGCCATCAAAGAGCTTCACGCACTCTCGATGATGATGACTACATGGTGAGCAGGCAGCTTGGTTGGTTTTCCTTCGTAGTTCTCGCTTATGCAAATGGGTGAGCCCACATGTAACACAGCATCTCACAACAGATGGAAACAGACACGAAATACGAGAACTTTCAAAACTTATTTGGAAATTGAAGTCTTGTACAACAACTTGCTTGTACACATTCTGCTGCCTATGGCTGCATACCAACAACTACCAAGAATCTCTCTCTCTCTCTCTCTCTCTCTCTCTCTCTCTCTCTCTCTCTCTCTCTTTGTCTCTCTCCCCCTCTCCCCACAGCTATGGCACGGGGTGCCATTGACTACAGCTAGTAGACTGCCTCCCTCCAGCCCCACACTCAGCACCTGGTTGTCGAACACCGCACCAGTGCTTCTGCAACAGGCACATGTAATGAAGCCTGCAGATTCTCAGTGGACTGTACATTGGGCCGAGGGCGAAGCTTGGGGCTTGCCTTGGTCGGGTCGCGTCTTAGGTTAGATTCATAATTTTGTTTGGCTGAGGGCTAACCGTGTAACCTGCCTGTAAGGAAAATTCGTGAGGGACATATCTGTAATTACGGGAAAATACAGACCCGTACTAACTGAATTTCCTACAGCTAACCTAACTGCGAATAGCAGGCCCGGGCTACCCCTAGGACAGACAGGCCCTAAGGGCCTATGCTGATAGAAAGTCCTATAGCCTATAGCTGGGTAAGGTAGAGGCCGAGAGGCCGAAACTGATACGGTACTGGTCGGTCAGTCAGTCCGGTCTAGGTCGAGTCTAGGCTAGTTTAGTCTGTAGATAGAATGGGCACATCGGTTCAGGGCTTTTTGCAGTTGGTACCGAGTACATCGCTGCTGCGCTACGCGTGAACCGGAAGTGGTGGAGGCTCAGCGTGGAAGGAGACAGGCATAGCCAGACCTTCGGAGCGCCGGCCATAGCTGAGACCTGCTGGAGGCGAGAGAGGTTGGTGCCCTGCTGGACCCTCCTCCAGAGTGGGGTTCCAGGGTGGTGGCGCTGCAGCCATAGCTGCAGCTTCTTCCTCCGAGGTCATCTTGTCAGGGTTTGGTGGCGCTGCTGCAGACTTCCACCCGGGAAGTCTTTCGACACTTCGTCATCATCAGATACTGTGGCACTGGTCTCCATCCTCTGAGTGGCGCTTGGCCTCAGAGGCCTGTTTCAGGGTGGTGCTTCCTTGTGGAGGCTGTATCTGGGTGGCGCTTAATGTTTCAGGGGCTCAGGGGTGTTACGGGTGGTTACTCAGGGTTGGGGAGTGAAGCGCTGCTCATTTCTGAGTAGCGCACTGTAGTACTGAAGTTATCCTGACAATTCGAGACTCTGAGATTGCACTTTCAGTGTTTCCAGGAGGGTCCCTCCCTTCCTTCAGAAGGTGCTTCTTGGACATGGAGCTTGGACTTCAGGTCCAGGGCTGCTCTGCCAAAGGACCGCCAGTCCTTATGGCCCTGAGAGAATAGAGCAAGCTGGAATTGCTCAGGCGCTGCCCTGAGGAAATGAATGAGCAGATCCTGCTCACTCGTCTCCAACCCAGGAGTCGATGTGAGACTCTCAAAGGTGGAATACAGTTTGGACAAGGAGCCATCAAACTTTTCTGGCCCAGGCGCAGAATTTTATCTGCTGCTTTTCTGGCCTGCTCCTTGTCTGCAAACCGGTCTTGCAGTGCCTGCAGAAATCCAGCCACCCCCAACCTCTGTGCCCAATCAGACATCTCCATACCTTGCTTGCTGGAGGTAGACGTGCACCATTTCAGGGCAGTCCGCTCCAAACGAGCAAGGATGGCTGACACCTTGACAGCCTCATCACATTTGAACCCACTCAGGTAGGTTCTCTGTGCAGTGACCCAATCTGCAACATCCACCTTTGGGTCCTCACTTGAGAACATGGGTGGAGGTGTCAGCTTGGGCCGCTGAAAATCAAATGGTGCTGAGGGCTGTGAAGTTGCTGTCGATTTGGGTGTAGAGGATGGAGATGTGGGTCCGGATTGTGGGGGAGATGCAGTCCCTGGAGGTGGGCCAGGGGAAGGAGGAACTGTCAGAGTGGTAGGGATCTTTAAATGAGTAAAGATCAGATCCAGTTTGGCAGAGATGTCATCCAGCTTTTGAGAAAAAGTTGAGTGGCTGCTCTCCAGACTGGTAATCCGGTCATCCCAGTTAGTAAAATAAGAATGTTGAATATCATCCTGCAAGAGGATGAATTCAGCCATGTCCTTGTTGTACTGACTGGAACTACCACTTGTCCTGATTTTTTCCACATCTGCAATTAGCAGCTTTCTCCTGGCTTCCTTCTGAGCTGCTTCTTCTTTCTTTTTCAGCTCATCCTTTAGGGAATCAACTGCCTGGGCCTGCTGGCGGAGTTTCTCCTCCTGGGCCCGCAGTTCAGTCTCTAAAGGGTCCAGCGGAATCTGGGGCTTTGTCTCAGAAGCCTCTGCCTGTCCATCATCTGCCATTTTTATCTCCCACAGTTCAGATAAATAAAACAAGTAAATAAGAGACAAATAAGAAGTAGCAGTAATTGAGTTTTCTCTACAGTACTCACTCAGTTGCTGCCACCTGACTGGAGAGACAAGGTTGGTTAGTCTGAGCAAGTGAGTGCTCAGTCTCAGCAGACTGCTTGAGGGTCAGAGTCAGTTTAGAGATCACTTAGGTAAAAATCAATTTCACGATTTTCCCATCACTGCCCTGAACCAACAATTGCACGCAATAATTTCAAATCCTGCATCAATAACTGACAGGATGCAGCCTTGGACTAATTAGTGTTGATTAGTAATTAGACAGAGTGACTAATTAGGGTTTGGCAGGTGTCTACTGATGACCAAGATGCAACGATTTACAGGTTACCCTATTCTTAGACATACCCTACAGACTTCACCACTGTATGACCCTGTATGCCATACCCTGGGTATGGCGAATTACAGTTTTCACTGTAACTGACTCAAAACATCAAATCTGGATGTACGATTTCAGACACAGACTGAGTACTGAATTGCGATTTACCAGGGACTGTCAGAATTGAATTCTGACGGGCAGAAACAAAGTTATGATTGACCCGGCGCAGAATTCAAATTTGCATTATCACTGAAGACAGGACCCTGACTTCACCAATTCACTACACAGTCTCAATCGCAATATTGTAAAGCAGTTACCGATGAAATATGAGTTAAAAAGAAGGTCAAACAGGGTTAGTAGAAGTCAAAGGAGATAGGTAGGGGAAGTTGGATATGGCTGTCCCACAGTCTGAATTTCGATTTTCAACTGTCACCTGGCAGACAGACCAATTTTCGCTATTCTAAAAATAGTCCCAGAATCGCCACACAGGATGGAGTACGGAACATACTTACTTCAGGGTAAACTCTAACGAAGATGCATGATACCTTGGCTATGGCTGACTGGTCAACCCCATCTCGCCAGTTTCATCTCCTGACAGTATCCAGTGTTCCCACGTACCAAATTGCTTGAAACTTGGTAATCCAGTAGATCACCCTGAGGCGCTTCACCCCCAACTGACAGATTCAAAAAATTCGGACTCCCAGGTGCCAATAACTGACAAACTCAGTGCAGCGCCACATCACCCTGTACTGCGCTGCTTGGAAATTGGGGATCCTGACCCAATTCCAAAATCGCAACCTCCTGGGATCACTTCCTTGCCAATCGACAGCCTCCAGATGAATCGCCAGGCTAAAAATAGCCTCTCAGAGCCTCCCAGGCCTCTGAGCACCAATCGCCAGCCCCTCCTGCACAACCCTAGTCAGGAGTGAGTCACCCTCTGTCCAATTCTTCTCGCCACAAACTCACTACCACCACCCTTACGGACAACAACCCTGAAGATGATGAATCGCCATGAAACTCAACTCCGGTATCTCGCCAGATAATGATGGGTGCTCCAACTCATCAATCGCTCCAGAGTCTGGATCCAATTGCTCTGATACCAACTGTTATGATTCTGGTTGTTTGTTGTCTGATGACCAACACTCACTCACATAGACTTCCAGGTATGCCCATACATACACAGAAGGAAGGGGAGAGGATAGGAGTATCACACCGCACAGGGAGAGATAACACAGCGGAAGACTTGACCATGCGATATGACAGGGTACGCTGAAAGTTCAATTCACTCCACTCAATCCTCACAACCAGTCATATAGAAAAGCTGAGCAGATCACATCCAGGAAACAATGAAACGATGATAGTCCAAACCCAGTTACAGGCTGTTTATTAATCTCAGAATCTGGAATTGTCAGGATAACTTCAGTACTACAGTGCGCTGCTCAGAAATGGGCAACGCTGCGGTTCACTCCCCAACCCTGAGTAACCACCCGTAACACCCCTGAGCCCCTGAAACATCAAGCACCACCCAGATACAGCCTCCACAGGGAAGCACCACCCTGAAACAGGCCTCTGAGGCCAAGCGCCACTCAGAGGATGGAGAAGAAGACCAGCGCCACAGTATCTGATGATGACGAAGTGTCGGAAGACTTCCCGGGTGGAAGTCCGCAGCAGCGCCGCCAAACCCTGACAAGATGACCTCGGAGGAAGAAGCTGCAGCTATGGCTGCAGCGCCACCACCCTGGAACCCCACTGCGGAGGAGGGTCCAGCAGGGCACCAACCTCTCTCGCCTCCAGCAGACCTCGATAACCCAGACCTCTGTCAGCCCCGGTGTGCTGGCAGAGTACAGCACAGGTCCCAGCTATGGCCGGCGCTCCGAAGGTCTGGCTATGCCTGTCTCCTTCCACGCTGAGCCGCCACCACTTCCGGTTCACGCGCTGAAAAGTGTAGTGGGGATCATGTTTTTTTGTTTCTTTTTTTTTGGCTTGTTTTGTTTTTGGTCAAGGTCTGTATGTCCCAAGTTTGGTGTTCGTTGGGTTCCTGGAGATGGTTGTTTTGGGCAGTGGTGAAAATTGTGAAAATCGACAAATTGAAATGTTGGTGAAATTTCATGAAAGTGCACTTTTGGCTTGCTGTTTTATATGTTTTTTATTTTTATTTTTCG